GCACATTTCACCAAAATTATTCTACACACACGATCTTCAGACAAATGGTGACATTGATGTGCAACAAATCTGTTCAAGTGACAATCCAGCAGATTTATTCACTAAATCTATGCCAACTTCAACTTTTGAGAAGATGATATACAAGATTGGAATGCGGACACTCAAATATTTGAAACAAGGTTTTCATCAGGGGGAGTAAAATACGCAATGCACTCTTTTTTTTTCCTTACTAAAGTTTTTTTTCACGGGGTTTTCCTTAGAAGGTTTTTAATGAGGCACCTACCAATGCGTATTACTAAATATGTGTACTCTTTTTCCTTCGCTAGGATTTTTTTCCACGGGATTTTTCCTAGTAAGATTTTAATGAAGGCATTATATTTTAATGAACATCCAAGGGGGAGTGTTTTAAATATATATTATATTTATGGATGTTCATTTAGTACTCCGTTACAAACAAGCTTCCTGAAGAACTTATCCATATGGGACTCCGCCGTAAATATATTTATCTATTTAGTACTCCATTGGAAATAAGCCTCCTGAAGAAGCTTATCATTTCGGTACGCCGTTATGGATAAATATTACCCTTGGTAGAAGATTATCTATATCTGGTACAGTATCAGCTTACAAGCAACTTACAAGCAGCTTACACAACAGCTTGCAGTAGCAGCTTACAAGCAACTTACAAGCAGCTTACACAGTAGCTTGCAATCATTTCGGTACTCCGTTATGGATAAATATTAGCCCAGGTAGAAGATTATCTAAATCTGGTACAGTAGCAGCTTACAAGCAACTTACAAGCAGCTTACACAACAGCTTGCAGTAGCAGCTTACAAACAACTTACAAGCAACTTACACATCAGCTTACACAACAGCTTTCTTTCTTCTATAAATAGAGGAGATTTCAGTTCATTATGTACATCAGTTTGAAAGTTGAATAATATATCAGTTTCTCTCTATATCTTTAGTTTATTTACTTTACAGTCGTTATTTTATAACAATAACTCCAATATTGATATAGTAGTACTCCCTCCTTCCCATTATGGAATCATAAATACGAAGTATTTTTTTTTTTTACTAAATGGGCACTCTTATTACTCCCTCTGTCTCATAATATGTATCGTGGTTACTAAAAATATTTGTCTCAAATTATTTGTCATTTTAGAAGTTCAAGACACAATTGATTATATTTTTCCTTTCTTTACCCTTAATAATCAATTGCATTCACATTTAGTAAAAATATGGATAATGTCATTGATAGAGATGACACATAAGTTGAGAAAATATTCAATTAGGGTGTAGTCAAAAACTATTTTTTCTTAAGGGGCGTACACAAGAGAATCACGACACATATTATGAGACGGGGGGAGTAATATTGTTTACTTTCAAGAACAATTAATATTATGGACAAATAGAAAAAAAAAATTATTTTATCTTAAATTTATAGATTGACAACTATAGTGGGACAAACATTTTTAGTAACCTTGAGTGAGTAATAAAAATATTCTATCTTTGCATATAAAGAGTTGTGTGATGATTCATATTTGGCCCCTACTTCATTTTTTTTTTTTTTTTTGTTATAATTCACTCTTGTTTAATATGCAAAAAAGCTTTTTCTTTTTCTCAAAAGAAATTTTGTTTTATGCAATAAAAAAAAGGAATATGACCTGCAGAACATGTAGAATAAAATTACTGACACATCAACTTTTTATCCGTTTTAGATAAATTTTTAGGGGTCGTTTGGTTTGAAGATTAGTAATGCAGAGATTAATAATGCAAGGTTTAATAATATGTGAACTAATAGTACATGAATTATTTTGGGTGGGGTGTTTGGTTCATCGCACTAAAGTTGGGCATATAAGTATTGTCGAAATTATTTATTTACTCTGTAAACTAAAAATAATGAATTCACAATTATACCCTAGGATATTTGGTCTTCATAGGCTTCTTGGGAAAAGACAAAAGATAGTTTTGTCCTTTTGGTGCTTTATCCATGTATAACTTATACATGGATTAGTTATTCTATGTTGGTTGTGGGATAAGATAATACACCAAGGGGTCGTTTGTTAGGGTGTATGAGAATAGTACCGAATAGAGTGTACTAGCAATGTTGGTATTAGTTATACTTAAATTATTTTTTATCCACTATCTGATTTGGTGTATTAAAATGACAAAATTACATAATGCACTCCATAAGTTGACCTTGCATCATTTTAGTCCACTTATAAGTTTGCAAATGTGTAGCCAAATATCAATAAGCTTAGATCTGAATTTTTTTAGCCCACTTAGAGATACCTTCCGATAAAACTTTTCAGAACTCCAAAGCATCCTGCACGATACAATCTGGGTGTGTGGGGAGGAAAAGGGCGGATTCAACAAACCCTTCCATACACAGGTCAAAAACATTTAATGGAGGTTATGAACATTCTGATAGCTTTCTCAGCTTACCTTCTTCACCTATTGAAATCTCCATTCTTAGCTAAGATATAAAGGTCATTGCCTCATCCTTAATATGTCTTTTCTTTCTCCAAGGCAAGTATACTTTGCAAAGAGAAACAGATTCACTTATACAAGGCTGATACATTATTTACAGGATCCAAATATCAAAAATTGCAAGTGAAAATCGTACAAAAAATTCGTCAGAAATGCTTATACACTTTTATACAAAGAGGTATATTTTATATATATATATATATATATATATATATATATATATATATATATATATATATATATATATATATATANATTAGCCCAATAAATTTATTTGAACTAATATATCTTGAATTTAAAATATAGTCCCAACTATTTTATGGATTTAATTCCTATAAAATTTATATGCCTACAATTATATATATATATAGTTGTATAAAATTATATAAAAATGAAGAGGAGGAGGAGGAGGAATAAGAAATGTATCAGCCTTGTATAAAATAATGTATAAGAGATGTTTATACACTATTATATGTTACTTATACAATATTATACACTATTATACAAATGAATCATATTAATGGAGCTTCACTGGTTCTTCTTCTTCTTTGGGCATCTTCTGAAATTCAACTCAAATCTACCTCAAATCTGTTCCAAATCACTTCAAATTTGAGTTTTGAACTCCCCTTGACGATCCCAATCAATTGGGCCAACACCCAATCCAAACAACTAACAAAATCGAAAAATCCAATTTTGAAATTGAAGCTTCGAATGACCTTTAATGGTGACTCCAAAATAGTAATTCTCTTAAGTGGTATTTTTTCTTCTCATCTTAATAGTGATTATCAACTTTGAATATGGAAGGAGAATTGAAGAATATATATAACGGTAGAGAAACTTTGGGGTGCAAAGTCGTGAAAGAGGAAGAAGAACGAAGAACGAAGAAAAGAAAAAAATAGGGTGGGCTAACTGGTGAAAAAAAAATTCAGATTATATACAACCTGGGCTATATCAGGTAAGGGCTTCAAATGTGGGCCATTTTCTGTTGGACTGTTGGGCCAAGTGACAAGGAGCGTAATTTCCCCTATTAAAAATAACATGCATTGTATAGAGGTGTATACATGTCTATCCATCTATTAAAAATCATGGTATTACTAATGCCATGGTATACTGCATTAATTATACATATAATAATACCAAATATGGTGTATAACTAATACATAGATTGAAAAATACTACCAAACAAGGGATTACTAATTTCAAGGATAATACAGGTATTATTTTTCCCTAACACATCCTACCAAATGACCCCCAATTGGTATATAAAATAACACATGGATTAGCTATCATACATTTGAAATCACAACCAAATAATGTATTAACTCAGTACAAATTCTTATACCATGATTAATTATCTTACACCATACCAAACGACCCCTTACGGTGTTATATTTCTTTTAAGTTTCTATGTAATTAGTCTTTAACACTTTTATTTAATTTCATCTTTTCTACAACCATGTAATACATTGTTGTAATGGATATAACATGAACGACATATGATATATGAAGTACTATTAGTAATCAAAATAGTCAAATCAGAGAAACTTCTACTTATGTAATTTAATAAAGGGTAATGTCGTTCTAATAAAGTTAGAGAGTATTTAAGGTATTAGATTCAATTTTGCTACTGAGAGAAAACCTATGAAGTGAATGTAACACGTTCCTCATCATAATTAACTATGGAACCTCTATAAGACCAAAATGAACCATAGAAAGATCTTTAATTGTCCCTTATATCTGGTTACTAGGCTGAAGTTTGATCTATGGGAGGTCGAATCCTAATGCTCTCTAAGAAAATAACTCAAAAGATTTCATTTATGTCTACAGAGGAAGAAAGGTAATGAAGGGTGGAGAAATTGATGGGAGATTCCGGGAGATCGAACTGATAATTCATATTGCCATCAACTTTTTCTTCACAGAGAAGAACCCATCTCAAGTTCAAGTATATGATGCGATGTACCCCAAAATATATCAAAAAGTTGTCCGCAAATTATAAGCTCTTTTTACAGCGACCTACTTTTACCTAAGCTAATGACTAAGCGTAACAAGTTAAAAGGATTAAGCATCCAAATGATTAAGCTATAAGTTTAGTTGTCACTTCTTCAGAGCTCGATCTTTTGAGAATTTATCTTAACAAATCACTTAACCCCTTCCCTCAGAGACATCATGCAAGCAGTGATCACAATAGAATGATTTTATGACAGCGTGATCAAGTTTCATTTCCACCTCAATTGTATGAGATTCCCTTAAACATGCTAAGCAACAGGTTTTGCTCATTGCAAACTTTAGTAATCAATAGAACAGCAATCTTCTGTATCCAAAATACTAGTTTTTGCTCCCAAAGCAAATGTATAGCCTGTGTAATCCCACAAGTGGAGTCTGAGGGGAGAAGTGTATGCAGACCTTAACCCTACCTTGAGAAGGTAGAGAGGCTATTTCCAATAGACACTCGGCTCAAGGAGGGATGAAAAAAAAGAAGTAACAGAAGCAAGATAATAAGAGACCGGAGCAAAAGAAACAAAAGCAAATGTATTGACCATGACTATAAAAGTTTGGTGTAATAAAACAAGCATCAGTAAATTAAACAGATTTACATCTCCGTTTGTTAATAGTAAAGAGCAGCCAGCTTTCCCACTCCAACAAATTTGCATTGGTTGGAATGGATCCTGGGTATCTGATCGGCTTGACAAGTAAAACCAAGACCCTAGAGTGTCTCTCAGCCAAGTGCTTGGGTGATCTCAGAGCAAAGTGATGAGAACATTGTATCCAATGTTATTCAGCAATTAACTCTGATGAATTCTATTTCCTGCAGACATCCACATCCCATATATAATTAGCAAGAAATATTTTGATGCTTCGTGTTTCTTTTGAAACAGTACAAAATAATGCATAGGACAAGCTGTTCAATACTCTCTACATGTAGAGGGAAAAAATGAGTTTCTTCTTTTCGTCTTTCTTTTTGAGAAATACTTCAAAGGTTTATCGGAATGACAATCAATTTTCCGACTGGCCAACATCAGCAAGGATTCGGGGTGGTTTCCGTACCATCACATTCTGCTAGCCCAAGGCATATTTAGCTAATTTTATGATCAACAGTGTAGCCATACGGAACATGCACAGAGCTCACAGTGTCAAAAGATTTACACAAAAAGGAGAATTCTCTAAAATAGTCTCAGTGTCGCATGGTGGACACCTCATTCAACAGAACATGCAATATGAGTGTGATGGGCTGAGAATACTTTAGATTTCAAACAAGTGAGCCAACCAGAAAGCCTGGCTTAAAGCAAGTCATGACATGGGATAAATGATGAGCTTTACTAACCTGCAACTCTTTTTTGAAGGAACAACAAGTCCCCTTTTCTCCAGGCTTTTAAACCGATCTCTTGCAAGGGTGCAGCACCCCTGTTTGCAACAGAGAGCAAATCCACATAAGAAAATTTTAGTGATAGAAATAGACATTACAACAACCATTTTGGAGAAATTTGAAATCAGGAAGGCAACCTTCAGTTTACGGAGGGAACCAGTAATCTCTTCAGACAGTAAAACCTGAGCAGGAGCAGGCTCGAATCTGAAATGACAGATGCCATTATCTTTTAAACATCCAAAGTTACTATTGTAGCAATAAAGCAATAGCACAAGAAAAACGACTCTCGTGGCTCAGATCAGGCAAGCTAGAATTTGAAACATTTTTGAAAGTTAAAACCATAAAGATCTCTTTGTATTCTGATGTTCTACAAAACCATTTTTCTTCCAGTTAGCAATTCAATCATTGAAATTTTTTCACTTCAAAATGAAACAGCACATACTTGCGCTTTCCCAAACGTGGTGGACAAGATTTTAGTCTTTCCTTTTTAGCAGTAACACGACGGAGATGTCTTTTCTGTTTTTCTTCATCCTCTTTCTCTATTTCTTGAATTATATCCGGTAAGCTGCAGACACAAGAACAACTCATCAGAATTTATAAGACAGGCAAATCCTATTTAACTAGAAAATGATTTGCCTGATATTCTAAGCAATATAGCAAACCTGTCAATCTCTTTGGAGAGCTGCTCTGCTTTTGTTGCTTCAGCTTCTGCTTTCAGCTGTACTTTGCGCCTAGCCCGTCTATTCTTCTCAACTTGTGTTAACATTTTGGGCTTCTGAGGCCTGCATGATATTTAAATTAATGATGTGTAATTTCATTTAAGTGTTAAATGAAGGTGAAATCTGAAGACCTGTAATAATGCACTCAACCTAACATGCATTGCAAAGGAAGCTAATGGCTAACCTAGTGCACTGCGAATTTTCAGAACACATAGCTATCTTACAAAAAGGATCTTGAACATTTGTCCCTTTACAACTGAACATCATTAGGAGATTAGGATCATTACCACCAAAGGAAACAAATATGAAGTCAGACAGCAACAATTCCATATTATCTATCAGGTACACAGCTCACACAATTTAACTGAACTAGATTAAGGAGCATATCTCTTCACATTAAAATGATTTTAAATGTAGCCGGTTTTAACTGAATATATTTAAGGAACCAAAGGATTCCAAAGGTTTTATAGAGGTTTGGCCTAGTCACTCGATTTAGGTAAAATTTTGGATTGGATGCTCAAATTCTTAAATACCCACAAAAGCTGAATCAATTATTTCCTAGTTCAATTCTTCCAGAAGCATTCAATTATTGACAATATACTACATATCACCTCGAGAATAAAATAATGAGAACCTGCAGTGTTAGCTACAACTATTGGAAAAAATAAGTGTTATAAATGTTGGATATAAAGAACTTTTCCACTAGCTCAAATTCAACCCAACAAAAACTGAATCCGTTATTTCCCAGTTCCAATACTGCTCAGTTATTGAAATAATGTGAATTTCCACAGTAGCTACAAACATTGGAAAAATAAGAGCTACTAATGTCAGGAAAAACTATTTCCACTTGCAGGAAAAAAGTAAACCAAACAGAATAGAGCAAAAGAGGGTCCAAATAAATAGGGGCAAAGGGAGCATAAGGTCTTAGTCCATCAGTGATAATATATTGCCTTGGATCCTCATAAACATCCATCAGCTTAGAACTTTGTGAAAACTATTAAACATGCAAAGCCACATAAATAAAGCTAAACTACATTTCTAGATGATGACAAGGAGTTGACCGCAGTAACCAACAATCAGGAGCTACTATAAAAACGAGAACCAGACAACTCATGTTATCCTTGTAAAGTTACAGTAAGATTTAACTTAGCTGAATGTTGTAACCAGTCTCCAGAGATTGATATGTAAATATGTACTTTAATTGATTTTACCGTCAGCATAATTTAACATGCAAATTCTTAAAATGCTTATTATCACCTTTTTTTCCTCTGGAGCCTAAAGATTGTCAAAGAAGCACCTATTCACTATTTTCAAGGAATCCACGAATATGAACAGACACAGATAAGTAAATTACCCAGTTCAAAGTTTTTTGAGAAGTTTTTTTTTTGTTGTTCTTTTGAGAAGGAATTACATAGTACAAAGTTTGATGCCTTACTTTTAAGTAGTATAATTTGAAATACTCCTGAATACTGAGCTGGCGATGAATAGAACACATTTCAATAGGTAAAACTATCATGACCCGTCAAGCAACAGAACCTTACCTTTTCTCCAGATCTGTGTTTCCATCTTCCACTAGATTTTCATTTTCCACATCACTCCCACTGTCCGCTTCAAGTAAATACATCTGAGACAAATGAATCTTCAGTCCATACTTATATCAAGTATGAGAAACATAGCCCATTAAGTATCTGCAAGGGCCATGGTCAAGGTACTAGCAAGATAGTAACAGAATAAACATACCTCTTCTTCATTAACTGCTTCTCCAGGAACAATCAATGGAATAGGCTCCGGCCCCAATTCATTTCTATAAATTTTCTGCATTTCATCTGCAACAGCACAAGCTAATGCATCCTGAATTGAGAAGATACAGAGCGAGTTACTAATTACAGCGACTAGGAGCTAGGTAATAGCAAAATATGACATACAGACATCAGTTTTTACCTGATGACTTTCGGATGCCGGATTGAATGAGCATCCTGGAGGCTCAACTTCCACAGCCGGTATAATAGTTGTCTTGGGCTTCTGTCACAGACAATACATGCTAATTCGATTACATATACTAATGCAGAGTTGTCTTTTCTCTTATCGAGAAGTACACTGATGCAGAATTGTTCTAGGTAAATCATAAGTTTACAATTCACATACTCGAGCTTTAGGACCATACCAAAGTATACACACTTGAGATAGTGAGGTAATATATCGAGGAAGGAAAAGACAGGCAGGTACAAACGTTATGCATTAAGCACAGGTAACGACATGGAAATAAAATATTATCTCCTTCGTCAGCAATATTGCGCAATTCAATAGGACTTGTATCACCACCTTACCCACCCCAGCCATTGAAATGAGAAAATTATGAAAAGACATCACCCTGCAACAGCAGGGAAGTACTGTAAACCAAACCCCTAAATGCAATCCCAATCCAAACACTACACATGCATCACAAATTTTGATCAATATCTTTAGACAGCCTAGAGTGCCACGATGCTGAAAGGAAGGATTTCATACTGCCAAATTGAGGAATGAGCAAATTGGACAGCAATCCATGTTTCATTTTCTTTTTGGATACCTGTTTTTTCCTTTTTAAATTAAATCTTGTATCTGTTAGAGATCATTGTATCGGCGTAATTCATATGCTCCTAATTTGTGAGATGAAATGTTGAAATGTGTTGAGTGAATGGGCAACTAACTGAGTCAATCAATCAATCCATCAACTATGCAGCAATTACGAACATAGTTAGGGTCGGCTACAATAGATACTCTATATCCATTCTGCTTTCTTTTAGGCCCATTACCTTTAACGGTAAAGGACCTTATATCCAGTCTCATGCCTCTTTTTTTGTTTTTCTCTCATCTATCCTTTGAGAGGATAACATGGCATAGAGGACGTGCATGGAAATGGTTCGTTGCAGAGATGCTTTTTACATGTCATACTTTCTTGGGAATATTATATTCAATTGACTTAAAGATAATCATTGTTTAAGTTGACTTTAAAGTAATCATTCTAAGGCAACATTAGTAGTCCTTATGAAGAAGGGGGTGCATTAATAAGCCTATAGCAGATATCTTATCAGGAGAAAATCCAACTGATTCCACAGAAGTATTTCATGTAAAAGAACACAAAAAGTGAAAAGGAAATTCCTGACAGGTGGACCAAGGAGAAAATCCAGCTGATTTCATAAACATATTTCATGTATAAGGACACAATAAAATAAAAAGGAAATTCCTGAAAGGTGGCCCATAAAAGATAAAGGGAGCAGAGAAAAGAATAAAAAAAATTTCAAATTATCAGAAGGAGAAAACAGTGTACCTTTTTGGTTTTGATGACCAGTTCACCTGCAACAATGCAATGAAGTTCGTATCAGAAAAGCTATTTACTACTGAAGTGACAAGGAACAGAAAGGTTTTAATCACAAGGGCACCTTTATCATCCCAAATGTCAACCATGCCAGAGTCTGCACCAGCCAAATCCTAATCACAGAAAATTAAGAAAAGATAAGCACTAAGGATCCATTAGGGATGTGCACTCAAATGAATATATAGTTTCGCTAAGGGGAAATATGGAAAGGAAGCGGCAGCCATAACATCTTGCAATTGGTAATTTGAACATTTTTAAAGAGAAATAGTGAAAAACCTTTTGACCCTTATCTTTGGCTATCTGGACTTCTTTACTTTTCTTCTTGGACTTTTTCCCAATTGAAGAAGGTACAGGTTCGACAAAGGCATTCCTTTGTAGCATACTATCACACCGAAGTACTTTCTCCCGGTGTTTTTCAATTTTCCTTTTAGCTGAAAGATCTGGATCATAGACATAAACTTGTCACTACCTTATAAAGAATGACTCACCAACAAAAAAACCACAGAACTGCTAAATATTACAGAGAAATAGTACTAAGGTGATTCTAAACTGTTCTCTTCTAATCCAAAAATGTCAGATACTATATCCCAAAATGTCGTCAGGCTTCATTATACACGCAATAATTGGAGGTGAACAGAAGCCACGTCTACTAAAAACCAACACCCAAACAACTGCTCCTGAAAGGTATCTGCAAGTCTAAAGCTGAAATGAACTTTCCAATCCGCTCTCAAGGTCTGACTTTTTGCACAATTTGACAATTCAGCCAATTTTAGGATCACTTCGCCTTAAACAAACCCACCTCTCTTACTGTACATCCTACACAGTTACTAGGATACCAAACTATTCTGTAGACTTGTCTTAGTACACTAAATATTCTAAATATAGTTACCCGGCCAAAACAAGTTCAGTCTGTGGAATAATAAATAGTATACATACTTATTCATCTAAATATTATATCAGCTACAAAACATAAGTGAGCACCAGTTTATGGCTTGTTTCACTTTGTTATCTACTTGAACAAATAATACTTGCTAGCAATTTTGAACAAGCAAAAGAAATCCTTAAACAGAAAATACCTCTGGATTTGTCGACGTAAAATAGGGAATCACTGGGAACTTGAGCGAGAGAGCCACCCGAAAGAGCATCTTTAGTGGAATTGTCAAAGAAATCTTCAATATCTTCAGTACTTATGTTGGCTCTCCATTCCTTCTTCCCTTTCCTTGAGCTCTTCGATCTTTTCCCCATCTCTACGACTCAGCTTAGGGCGGCTCTAGGGCAAGGCAAGTGAAGCTGTTGCCTTATGCCCCAAATATTTAAGGCCCAAAAATATAAAGTACTATTATATCATTATATAATATATATATATATATATATATATATATATAAAATTTATATTTATAAAATTATTGACAAAATATATTAAATTCTAACATTTATTTAAATTTGGTAGATGGATTGAATGAGTTAATAGGATAAAACTTTTCTCTCACAAATTTAAATAAATTCTATTTTTCTTTTCTTTCTTTTTTCATATTTCTTACTATTTTACTTTCTAATTTAAAATCAAATTTTCTAAATTAGCTATTTCTTTTTGTCACATTTGATAGATCCTCATATTAGTAATCAAGTTCTTTTGTGTCTCATTTTTTAACTAAGAGGGTGTTTGGCTAAGCTTATAAGCTGGTCAAACTGGTTTATAAGCACTTTTTGGCTTATCTACGCGTTTGGTAAAATTAAAAGTGCTTATAAGTTAAGTGCTTATAAGCCAAAAATAAGCCAAAAGCCATAAGTTGGTCTCCCCCAACTTATCAAATTTCAGCTTATAAGCACTTTAGGTTTGACCAAAATATTTACTATTCTATCCCTAAAATACTTCTTTTTAAAACAAGACTCTTCGTATACCCAGTTCTTCAGCTGCTTATTATTAATTTCAGCACTTTTAACCAAACACGTAACTGCTTATTTTTTAAATCAGCTTCAGCACTTAAAAGTGCTTTTCAGCACCGAATGCTTATCAGCTACTCTAAATCAGCTAAGCCAAACGGGCTCTAAGAAATCCCAGAGACAATTATCATAAGGTTCAAAACACGATCCATACTAGGCTCAATCCTTTTACCATTTTTATTTAATGTTATATTTTTTTTTACAGGGAGTTCAATACCATATGACTTACGCCTAACCCACATATTATACGTTGTTCTCTCACCACTTTTTTTGGCTCAATATTATATGGACATTATGAAAGAAATTTCAGGTGGGTCTTTTAATATATTTTAGTTTTAAGCCACCAGTTCTGTTGAGCCACCCTCATTAATGATCAACAATTATTTATAGACCACTGCCCATGAACGTGTTATTCAACAGCTCCATTCACATTTGGTAACTAAATAACACATTCACTGATTGTTGTCTTATCTTAATTGAGAATGTATAAAATTTGATTGAGAATAGCAGGGGGGTGGACACGTGGCTCGATTAGGAGACTAGTAAAGCTTTAATTTAGGTTCCCAAAAATTTTTAATAATGGATTTTGTGATTTTATTTCAAGTTAGACAATATTAAAGTTTGCAAAAAAAAAAAAAATACAATAAACCTTGGACAAAAGAAACAAAGAAAGGAAGACTATCTACTCTTTAACACTAAAAATATTTTAGAATTTTAAATTAAATTACTTAGATCTTCATATTAGTAAATATATTTTTTACAACAAAATCAAAGGTAACATATTGAAAATACATGTATTACATCCAATTTATTTAAGTTACGTCTTACTAATATAAATGATAATACTACTATGTGAAGTTAAATGTTTCATCATTTAAGTATGTTATACTATAAATAACAAGTATGAAAAATTGCAACTCTATTTTTTTTTTTTGTATAAGTGTGTCATGTGTGTATATATACTAATAGAAAAGTATAAGGTCTCTTATTAAATTTTGCTTTAGGCCACAAACTTTATGGAGCCACCATTGAGCTTACGTTGTGCTTTCCTGCGCTATAAGCTTCGGCTTAAACCCTAAAATATGACCAATATAGGTTTTTGGCAAATTGCTATACTTTTATTTGCACTTTCATCCCTATACTTTTGGTTTTCTCGCATGCTTTTAAACTTTTTGGATGACTTGGGGATATCATTATTTTACACACTTGTTTCTATCGTATTGTATTGTTTCTTTAACTACAATATTTGTTTTGATTGTTAGTTAAATTTTATTGTACCGTATCATTAAATTCGTCATTACATAGTGACAAAAAGTGCCACTTTATGTAACGATCGGGTGTGATCGCGTTGTCACCTTATTTTTTTCTCTCATCTCGCCCTTCTTTATTACTAAATAATCTTATTTCATCCTTTCCCCTATCTTTTTATATAATAATTCTACCTCATATCATCATTTTTTCTAATAATATTATAAGTTTATTCTTCGTATTACTAGTGTGTGATATCATGAAACGATGGCAAACAATATAGTCTATCCAAACATTGTATTCATCAAACGATACAGTACAATATAATACAGTACGAAATAAAAACATTATGAAACGATATGTAACAACCATCCAAATAAACTGTTGTGGTTTGATTAAAACCAGTTCCTTTTTGATGATCTTCACAAATTTAAACTTTCGGAGCTACTAATTGGAATATAATCAAAGTTAGCAAACTAATTAAAAATTAACAACAATTAAACAAAATGGCTTCTTCTTCTTTTTTCACTTCTTCTAGCTTAAATGAACTTGTCTTGAGCGGAATAAGAAGTTTGAATTTTAATGTTTTCATGGGTCGTGTCTGTAGATTCATGAGTTATGTTGATTTAGATCCTCACTTTATAATGATATAAGTAGTGAATATGTTCGCGCTTTGCGCGATTGCAAAATAACTTATCAAAATTTGATGTAATCTTCACTACTAGAAATTCGGAATTTAGCGACCAAACTTGGTATGTCCAGATTAACGATCAAGTTGTCGGTAAAAGGGAGAAAAATATTTTATATTTATGTTATATAAATTACCGACCAAAGTTGGTCGGTAAAGTGGTCAACAGGTTGACCCAGATGGTCAGCATTGTGTAGTCAAAGAAAATTTCACATTACCGACCAACTTTGGTTGGTAATGTGGGAACCAGTTAAAAAATTTTAACAGTTATATTATTATTTAAAATATTTTATAAAATATAAAGAAATCTTATTTAAAATTACCGACCAAAGTTGGTCGGTTAATACATGGGAAACATTTACCAACCAACTTTGGTCGTTATTTTTTAATATCTGAAAAGTAACCGATTTGGTCAACATTGGTCAAAATTAAATCACTTTTATATTTACTATCTAAATAATATAAATGTAATCCGTTAACACTTTTGTAACCAAGGGATGAATACACTAACATATACTATAACATGCTATTTATGCTATATATGTAGTTAATATATATATATATATATATATATATATATATATNTATATATATATATATATATAGGTGAGACGTTTTGTTTTTAACATTCAATGATGCATCTGAGTAAGTTATAAGTCGATGAATCAAGTTACAAAAAGATATATTTGATGATAAATTATAAAAACTAATTAGGATCGTCATGTGAACATAATGTTACATAAGGGTCCTTCTTGAGGTTAATCATACGAGGGAGTATGATCGCTATGATCCTTTCATAATTGCACATAATGTTAGGCAAGTGTATTATGCTCCTTAACCATTGCGGCGGAATCCGATTGGTGGGTTATAATAAAAACTAAGTGTGTAGGTAGGGTGGAAGTGGAGAATGTGTTAGAAGTTGCATATCAAAACGATATCTCCAGTGTTCACCAAATAGTGGACGATCAGCTAGAAAATAATTTGGAACATCCTGAACACATATTGGAAGAAGTATATATAAATGAAGTACAATTATAGAAAATGAGGACGAAGAATCAACTAATGAAGCTGAAACAAGTGAGGACGAAGAATTCTCGGGCGAGGACCAATACGTCGATGAAATTTAAAAAGTTGGTTTTTCAAATAACTCTTATTTTATAGATAGTTTCTTATATGTTTCAATCTAAAGATGTGATGACCCGAAAAGTCATCACTTGTTTTAGAAATAAATTCAGTGTTTTGAGACCTAAAAGCCTCCTTTTTACCTCACCTCGATTTGCTTGCACAGTCCGGGCGTGTAGCCGGAAAGCATATATGTGAAAATCTATGAAAAATAATAAATTTTGCCTTTAAAATGAATTTAAGTTGACTTCGGTCAACTTTTTTAGTAAACGAACCTGGATCCGTTTTCCTACGATCCCGGGAGGTCCGTAAGAAAATATGAGACTTGGGCGTATGCCCGGAATCAAATTCCGAGGTTCCAAGCCCGAGAAATAAATTTTAAAGAAAATTGTTTCTGAAATTATTTATGAGATTTGGAAATGAATTGTGATTTGAACTTGATGGTGTTGGGCCCGTATTTCGATTCCGGCGTCCGGTACAGGTCTTATATGTGCTTTAAGATAAGTCTGTGAAATTTGGTAAGAAATGGACTTGAAACTACGTGAATCGGATCGTTATTGAGAAAATTGGAAATTTGAAGTTCTTGAGAAAATTTCATGATTTTGATGCTAAATTCATAGTTGTTGATGTTATTTTAGTGATTTGAATGCATGAGCGAGACCGTATGATGTTTTTAGGTTGGTGTGCATATTTGGTTTGGAGCCCCAAGGGCTCGGGTGAGTTTTGGATAGGCCACGGAGTGGATTTTGAACTTGGAAAATTGCAGGTTTTATTGCTGGTGTGATCAGGCATGCAGGCTTTGCATTTGCGAAGCCTGGCTCGCAAATGCGATACCGCAAATGAGAGGGCTTGGTCGCAAATACGAACCAGCCCAGGCCTGCCCTTCCTCGCAAATGCGAGATGTTCCTCGCAATTCCGACCTCGCAAATGCGAGTGTCCCTTCGCAAATGCGAAGTCTGCCTGTAATGCTTGAGGTCGCAAATGCGAAGTCGCAAATGCGATATTTCTTTTCGCAAATGCGAAAGTCCAGATTTTCTGAAGGGTTCGCAATTGCGAACCCCTGTTCGCAATTCCCATAATTGCAGCCTGCAAATTTTTATACTTAGCCGAAAATCAACCCTTTTCACATATTTTCAAAACACAAACTCCCTAGGGCGATTTTCCAAGAACAACTCTTCTTCCAAATCGATTGTAAGTCCATTTTAACTCGTTTCCTTCAATCATTAACATCTTTTAACATGATTTAAACTCAAAATCAATGATTTTCACGGGGAAAATTGAGTGTTTTGGGTAGAACCTAGGCTTTTCAAAAAAA